AGTCAGGATCCATAGTTCAGTTTGAAGAAGAAACCCCCATTTTTTGGGGGGGGGTCTTGTGTCAAAAAAAGTTGACACAACTTGAGTGCGGGCCAGAAGTGCATTGCAATTTGACACCTTCTTTGTCTGCAAGCCAACTATTCTCAGTTACCACCTGGGTTTTCTGACTTCGTTAGCCTTAGGCCCGTACATAGATTTTCATTTGCTGTTATTAATACTGCAGTATTTCTATTTAGCCATTTGCTTTAACGTGCGTTCTAATCTTCTCTAATGAGCTAATTAACTTCCTGTTAGAATTTGTTTGCTAATTTCTTCCAAAATAAATAATTTAAACATTTGGCTTCTTCCCCTCTCCCATATTTTTTAAAGAGTTTGCATTACTGAGTAAATTGAAGTGCAGTGTTGGCAATGTTAAGACATCTAAACATTTATTATCATAATGTGGTCTAAAAAATATGGGCACATAAAGTAATCATAGTCGGTGATTTAATTTACTGCGATATTTCCACCACGATTAAGATTCATTTTCTGTGGAGGCACCAACTTGATTTTGGCCATCTCTATGGATGGGTAAAGTTCACAAGGAAAGCACAGTGCAGCAATTGGCAAAAATCAGCAGGAGTTGTGCCCAATCACTAGGAAGTGCTTTTTCTTCCCTTCAATTTTGTCTTCCTGTTTTTGGGAACAAAACTGAAATACGTAAATGGCATATAAGATGGGCCTCCCATTGATATTTTAATTGAAATGCTGCATTCTGTAGTTATGAAATGGAAGCTTAGATGTTAGCCGAAATGTCTTTACCCAATTAGCTGTGTCCATTCCTTAAGAATGTCTAGTAATAAAATGCTTTCATTTCATCACATCTGTATTATTGCAGATAATACGCTCTACTTTAGAAAAGCATTCAGAAACAATAATTTATCCAGAATACTGTAGCTTCTGGAACTGCACCTATGGGACAGGTGACTTCCCAACTGAAACAGTTGTACTGTCTAAAGTCCTGAAAAGTTTGAGTCCTGGATATCTGAAGACGTGCCATATGGTGCTAAATGTAAATCATATAAATTACTAGAAGAAGAAATAAAGGGTCTAGACCAGTGTTTCTCAACCTTGGCAACTTGAAGATGTCCGGACTTCAAATCCCCGGATTCCCCAGCCACCAGTCGCTGGCTGCGG